TAGAAGAAATAGAAAAGAAAAAAAAATAGAGAAAAAAAAGAACAAAAAAAAATAAACAGCTCAAAAGTTTTCTAAAAAGAAAATTTTTAAGTGTAGAAAGGGAAGTGAAAAAAAGTTTTTTTTTAGTTATCAATTTTTTATTTAATATAATTATAATTATTTTAGATATATTTAAAGTTTAATATTTTTAATATTTGATTTTATTTTTTCTAATATTAAGTAGATATTTATAGTTGCTTAATACTATTTGATAAAATATATTGTTTTAAATTTTCTTTTTAATATTTGTTAAACAGTTACTATAGATAAGTTAATATTAAACTTATTGTATTATCATATAAGAAATATTGTTTTTTTAATAATATATATATATAAATAAAATAAAGAAATAATATTTATTTGTTAAAAAAAAAAAAATAATAATATAGTTTATATAATTTTAAATTTTAATAAAAATAATAAATGTTTTATTAAATAATTTTATATTTCAATAAAATTATTAATGTTTTAAAATTTTAAATTATAAGATTTATAAAATTAATTATTAATAAAAATTTTTTACAATATTGATTATAACTAATTTTATTTTTTAAAAAAATTCAAATTTAATTTAATTATTAGATTTTTTTTAAATTTTTATAATTTCTAAAATAAAATTTAAATAAAAAATTTTTTTAACTTGAAGATTATCTATAAATAATTTATAGATTAATAATTTATATAATCAAAAAATCTTAAAAAATTATATATTAAAATTTAAATTTTTTTAATATATTTTGATAAAGCAATTGTTAAAAAATTGTCTTTTAAATTTTAGATTTACTTAATTTAAAAAAAAAATTTTCAAAATACAATTTTTATTAATTTTATTATATAATTTAATAATAATATTTTTTATAATAAATTATATTTTGAAAAGTTCTTTTTTAAATCAAACAAATCTAAAATTTTAAAGTTAATTTTTTAATATTTGTTTTATCAAAATATGTCAAATTTTTTTGTTAACAATATAAAAAAACTTAGATTCTAATATATAATTTTTAAAAAATTTTTGACTATATGAATTAATAATTTATAAATTATTTATTAAAAATTTTCAAATTAAAAAAACCATTAGAAAAATTTCCTAAAATTTTTAAAATAATTAAATTAAATTTGAATTTTTAAAATAGATAAAGTTACTTATAACTGATATTATAAATAAAGATTTTCAAAATTTTTTATTTATTCAAATAAAAAAAAAATTTTTTTAATACAATACATATTTGTACTATTTTGTTTTTTCATTTTCCCTACCTTATTATTTTATAATTTTATAAATAAATACATGAGATTAATAAACATATGATGCTAGCCTGATTGTATAAAGTGATGCGTTCGATCACACTTAGCCCACCTTAGAAAAAAAAAATTATAGGATAACTTTGTATATAAAAAATCAATGACCTCTAACGGAATATTTTTAGTAAGAGTTTGAATTTTACAAAAAAAAACAATTTATTTGTTTCTAATATTGGAAATATATTAGAAGCTATCCTAAATTAAGTATCTTCCCTTATGTATTTTTTAAAAGATAAATAATTTATTAATTTTGATGGCCTGATAAAATCAGTTGCTACTTTCATTTTATCGAGTGCCAACGTCTATTTTTAGAAAGAGCTGTAGGAATATCCATCCTGTTTGCCGACTTGACAACTTTCACTTTCACGAGCTTGCTATTTGCTAACTCTTTTATTGTAATTTCGTCATTTTATCGAGAAAAAAAATCCCACCTTGCTCTCCATTAGTTTTACGATTTTTTTTTTTTTTAAAAAAAAAAAAATAATAATAATAATAGAAAAAGACGGAGGCAAATCCAATAACGAATAACAATCTAAATGACACTTACGGAGACAACTCAGGCTTTAATCGAAACGAACGAGGAACGACGTATACAGGAACTGATAGCTGCCTCTCAGAAACTACTGAGTCAAACCACACAACCACCAACTCCCACTGCTACAGCTACTTCAGGTTTTAATTTTCGACCGGAATCTGTTGGTCAAGATAAACAGCATTTGCGCCCAAGGAAACCGAAAACTAAGACGAGCACCGAAAATTTAAAGTTTGGAGACGCTTCCGACATATCCTTACCTATATCGCGTAACACCTCAACTCCTTCTCTAGTTAGCATGACAAGTAGTCCGACCCCATTCAATCATGGTTCAGCCGTCGGCGGTAACAACAATATAAGTAGTGGACCGAACTTAAGTACTGTTGGGTCACCAACTCCACAGAGTAATGCTACGAGGGGCGACAAAAAGTTTCTTAAAGAAAGATCTGAACGCGAAATACCAATGGGACCTCCTGAGCTGATGAAAGATCCTACTTCAGATTCCTTTTCCTCTCATGCTTACAGTTGGCCTATTATTTTTGCAGTCGTGCCTCCGATGGGTGCTCTCGTTTATGGTAAATCGGATGTGTGGAGTGACTTTTTATTATTGCTCTTGATTGCCTTCTACTTATATAACATTATCAAAGGTATGCATATCGAAAAATTAATATTGAATAATGCATGAGTAATTAACATCACAAATTGATATCACTATATAATTAATAACATGTATTGATTTTTTCAGTGCCTTGGGAATTATATTATGCAGCAAGATCAAGACGTGTAATGAATGATAATATCCCTGAACAGACGGCAGATCCGGCACAAGAGAACCAACGGAACAATGCTGCAAAAGAACTTCGTCGACAAGAAGCCTGGGCATTGTTATTAGTAGTAGCATCGCCAATAATTGGTGGATATGCTTTACATTGTGCAAAAATGTATTTGACCGATTACGACAAATATATTTCTCATTTCAACATCGTACTTTTCGTGCTTGCCGCTGGTATTCGTCCTTTGATGCATATTGCTAAACTTGCAAAGAATAGAACCTTGCATCTACAGGAACAAGTTCATTATCCAAGCACTGAAGTAGAATTACTAAAAAGACGTGTACAACATCTGGAATATGAATTCTCTCAGTTACGTCGTGGATATGCAACAAAACGGGATGTAATTAATATCAAAGATGACTTTGAACCGACAATCTCTCAACTAAATAAAGCTGTTAGGAGAAATGAAAAAAAAGAACAATATCTCAGAAGTTACTCAGAAGAAAGATTCACGTATCTGGAAAATAAGTTGCGAGAATTTGATACATTCATTACTTACAAATTACAAGAGGAACAAGCCACAAGTTTGTCACGTAATATGATGCAAGCGATGTTTTTGCCTCTCAACATTACTTTTACCGTGTTTGGCTATGCAAAATATTTTCTACCGCGGTCATTAAGGGGAGCAAGACAGACACCAATGTTACAACCTGCCTCCAATTCGGATGATGATGATAAAGCTCGACTAAATGATGACACGACACATCAACAAACAAATTCCGGAAGCCTTCAAAAGTATTAAATACTATATTCAATTTCTTTTTATTTTGTTTCATTGATCCCTTGGCTTATGCCATTGATTTCTTTTTCTTTCAGATACCACTAGAACCGTTCCTAACAAAGTAGATTGCGGATTTCGATGAATTTCCTCGATTACCAGAGGTGAAGAAAACTCCCTAATCCTAATTTTTCATGTTATACTTTCTTTTCTTTCGTCCTTCGATCATTGCTATTTGTTCTTTTGTATCATGTCGATCATGATAGATCTACAAAGAATGTATACATTAAGAATTTAATAATTTTTTTTAACGTGATCGAACATTGCACCATCCCTAAATTAAGAACTATATTTTTTTTGTATATATTTCCGATATATTATATCGCTTACAAAAAATAATAACACTTTCATTGAATATCTCTCATTATTTTCACTGATGCAAATGAAACTTCTTTTCAGTGACTTTTATTTGTCAACATAACTGTATGCCAATAAATTGAAATGTTAAATGAGATAAATTATATTTCATATAGTATTGTATTCTCTTTAGTGCTGACTGGATGTTCATTTCGAAAAATTACCCCGGTAAAAAGCACGTTATTTACAATCGGAACAATTTAGTGCAATTACATTAGTAAAATTTCTTCTGATTTTTAAGAATCAGATGCCGATTCTTAAGATATTGGTCATAGGTTAATCAGAATTGTCCAGCCAATGACCATCCAGGCGAGAAATCACCTGTAATATTATTTCTCTGGTTTATGAACGATGGAATAATATTATGAATATATGCCCAACGCTGTTAAAAGAATAATCACACCCACATTCAACAACTGATTTATAATTCTAAAAAATCATTTTTCTTTTTATAGTATTCATTAAATCTTAGTATTGCGTAGCCCATGAAATCGAAGTCAAGGTCAGAAAGGTTGGCCTGGAGCTGATATTAGGAATTTTTCTTAGTAAGAGTATTTTAAAGATAACTCATTTGTACATCAATTTTATTTTAATCGCCTTACCAAGGCCCAGGTGCCCCAATAAAAATGAGAAGCAAGAGCAAACTTGTTTGCTTCTCGGTATAATTCGTTTATTCTTTCGGCAGTAACGACAGAGGCATCTATTCAGATGAATCAAGGTTATTGAGAGTAAATTCAATCACGATTATGATTTTTTATTTTATATATCCTTTGCTTAACCTGGATTATATGCCCTCAAATATTGCTCTAAAAACTGCAGTTGGAACTCCTTTGTCGGGTATAGACTGTAGTCGCATGCGATCCCTAAAACGATATGCAAAAATTTATTGTTAGAATGACCAAAATTTGGTAATTATTGTGTTTTATCTCTTGTTAATTTTGTTAATTGTATTAACTCACCCCCGAATTCGTTAAAATGATTGCCAATGTCGAATGCTTGGGGGTTGAAAGTCGCATACTCATAATCTATGAACGATACCTCATTCATAGCGTCGTTATAGATAATGTTCGCATGCAGAAGGTCATTATGACAGAACACTACGGGTGACTTCACCTTTGCTAACTCTTGTTCTAGATCAGACAACTAACAGTAAAAAGAGGAATTGGTTCATATTAAGTACATAGGTTATATGCAATTATCGTAGCAATAAGTGTGTTTCTGACCTCTTTGTTGAGTTCTTCTATGTTAAAGTTTTTTCGGAATCTTTCATCGACCTCTGGGTTGGTATATGTTTTCGGTACTAAATGTTCAACTAATTAATATTCCATCATTAGGTGTAAATTTGTTATGATAAAATTCATACCTTCTTTAATCCACCTGTGTATAGTAAAAAATAAGTCGGGTTTTCTGTCTCCAGCGATAGTTACCCGGTGCCAAACAGCCAACTCTTTGGCCACCAATGAGGATTTGTACGGGTCACTCATGTCTGACACTGAAAACACACGACCTGGTTTATATCCATACACAAGTCCGTTTTTAAAGCGACCATATATTGGACAAGCTAATCCAAGTTCAGATAACGTTACCATATTCTACAAATAATGTAATATATTATTACTGTTTCTATAAAAATAACGCACGTCGATCTTTTTTAATATGCTACTATGCTTGCCATAGTTTCCTGTTCTCTGTCGATAAACTTTTCCGTTCCACTTCCATAAATTCTAATTAATATCGAAAACTCGAGAGACCTGTTAGTGCACTTTACGACTGGACAAATTTATTTAATGTTAATATTAATTAACTGTGTTTTTATTTACTTATAAGAAACAAAACTTACGCTTATTTGTGATCCCATCTTTGCATCTTACAAACTCCAAGTCATTTTCCTTCCAAGATCTAAAAAATTTCATCACGACATGAGCACAATCTTCAAACAAGTTAGTCGTTGATACGACATAATCTAAAGTTTCGAGCTCTTCTATATGCGATTTGAGTTCTTTTTTGGAAGTAAGGTTTAATTTATAAGTCTCCATGTTGAGGGTGGAAGAACGAACATTAGACACGTATAAATACCGTTTCCACATCTCACTCGACCTCACTTGACCTCACGTGTGTACTTCCACTTTACCATATTTGAAACCCCAAGAATAATGTGTGGTAGTACTTGGGGTACTTTTTTTTTCAATTCAAGTATTGTTCGATTCCGATATAGGAAATTTATTTTATCTTTCTATCGAAATAGGAATTAAATACATTACTAAAAAATAACCTTAATGAATAAATCTATAGAAAGCACATTTAACAATTTTCTTATTATCAAACTTTTACAATATAAAGATATGTTGACCAATAAACTTTAATTATTTTTTACAAAAGTAAATTAATTATTATTTTTTTAGAGACAGCACAAACTTTTATTAACTTAACATTGAAGTTAAAATTGTTATATGAAAGGTCTGATTAACTATTTTAGCTATTCTAACCTTAGCACTATCTCCTATTTCTAATCTGATATATTAACACTAGTTCAAATTAGATTATTCAATTGTCAAATTATAGCTGATTAAATTCAAATTTATTAATAAAAGTTTATACCAAAGTTTTGTTATTTATTTAATTTATGCTATTTGATACTTAAAAAATATACAATAATTTGACAAAAAAAATAAAACATTTGACAAAAAAATAATTATTTGGCAATAAAATCATTTGGAAATAAAATAATTTGGCAAAAAAATAAAAAAACTCTAAAAAACTTTTTCCGCTGATCCTTTTACCAACCCAAAAAACAGACGTTCTCAAAAGATTTTTTGTTTTTATAATAATAAAGTCTATATATTTTCTTTAAAAACAATACTGGTTATAACCAGCCAAGTAAGCAGAAACCACCACTTGTTTTATTTTTCTTTTTCAAAACACTTTTCTTATTTATTTTTGCGACTAAATACAAGAAACCCACCTAAAAGGTCTATGGCAAGAACACCTTTATAGGAAAAAAATTGATAAAAAAAAATACCTTTCAAAGACTTCCAAAAGATTCAAGAATTTAGAGAAACAAAAATAAAGAAGTCTCCAGTCTTTCTATCATCTCTTTGGCTTCCCACTTCTTTTTTTTCAAGTGTGCTTCCTTTTTTCTGGTTTTTTTAAAAAATTTTGCCTACTTCAGTTTGACTTTGAATTTTTTGGTTATATCAGATTTCCTGAAAGATGATTGGTTAAGGTCACGGATTGGTTAATCACGTCAGCCACAAAAAAAGTAAACAAGACACATATTCCTCATGTGTTTCCAGTTAAGCAACATCAAACTGATGATATAATTGATTGTGAAAAGAAGAGAAGTAACCTCTTTTTGTTTTCATCCTTTTATTTTCTTTTTTTTTTTCCCTATTCTTTCTTGAGGATAGGAAGTAGCAACAAGGTCTAGGTCCTATCCCAATCTGGTAACAAGTTGAAGTACCGATATCTATCCTGGAAATGGTTAAAGAAAGGAATCTTGAAACTATTCACTAGTTGAGTGAAGCTATAATTTCAGAAGATATGACTTGGGAGAGAAATTAACAATAGAAAACCAACATCCTTTCTGATTAGAAGTTTTCAAGCATAAAGTTTCAAGAAATACTTTCCTGGAAGTGCCTGTAAACATTTTTGAACATTAACTACTCCATTGGAAATTAAATGGTTTAACTGGCCATAGGTGGTAAGAAGTGGGAATCCATGAGAGGCTTGGGTTTTTAAGTTCACTAAGATAACTTTTTCAATAATAGTTAGAATAAATGATAGCTTTTTTTTTCTTTTCTCTTTATCAAAAAAATTTCTTTTTTATTCCTTTTTCCCCATGCATAGTTTCTACAAGAGGGGGTGACACAATTTGGATTTATGATTGTGACTGTGGAGGTAATCTGCAGGTGTTAATCCTATCGGAAATTCAAGATCTTAATCCTATCCTTTAGGAGAACAATATATTACTCCTATAAATCACATTTAAAGGCTTTGGCTAAAGATGGATGAGTTGGATCAGGGAAATTTGTACTTTGTATGTATTCTCGTGTGTATAATAGTTTTCTATGATTTAATAAATAAATGATACCAACCTGATTGTAGGATTAAAAAAAAAAAAAATAAAAAATAAAAAAATAATTTGGCAAAAAAATATTTAGTTAAAAATATTTAACAATATTCTATAATAAAAATTATAGCCTTTGAAATAAATTTTTATTATTTAACTATAAAATTGACAAAATCATTTAGCATTATATACTTTGATAAAATCAAATTATATATTTTTAATAAAAAAATTACATTTGTAATAATATTTGGCAAATTTTAATTAATACTTAATAAATTTATTAAAAATATAAAAAATATATAATTTGAAATAATTATTTACTAATTAATTATTTGCTCATTATTTATTAAATTCCTTTTTTATTTCTTTATTTAAATCTTCCTACTTATAATCATTTTTTTCTTTTACTGATTTCATTATGGCCTTTGTAACTCTCAAAGATTTTATAATACCAAATTTACTTTGCTTTGAAATACTTTTTTGTGATTTTTATATTTCTTGTAATTTTTCTTTAATTTTTTTCTTTAATATTGCTCTTAAATTTCATCTATTCATGCACTTTCTCCAGTTTAATACTTTTCTTCCTCTGAATATATAAGTGATTTCTCATAATCAGAGATCCTTTATTTTTTATATTTTTTTATTAATTGTTTATCTTTTTACTTTGTTTTATTTCTTGCTTTTTATTCTCTAATTTAAAAGTTCAACTTGGCAAGTTTTCTGACAGGATTATATTATAACAATAAGATTCACTATAGTTTCATTTATGAATTAGTTGAAATGGTTGAATTGACTTTGAATGTTTATCTAAATTTTTCAATAAATATTTCAACTATAAAATAATTAGTAATGAATTAATTATTCAGCATAAAATAATTTATTAAAAAATAATTTATTAGAATATAAATTATAGTCATATATATTTATTCTTCTCTTATTATCATTTTTCAAATCAGTTTTATTTTCTTCAGTCAAATGGACTTTTGGTTCTTTAACTATATAAATTAATTCCTTCCAATATTTTGCAATACTCTTGGACTTTTTGTCAATAAGTAACTGTATACTTTTAATTTTTTGTACATTTTTTTTTATTATTTAATAAAAATTAATACAAGTAATATAATATAAATATCAATTAATTTTATCTTATTTAATTGACTATTTGCATATAAGCAATAATTGTCTATATCTAGTTTTGATGTTTTCCTCTTTGATGATGATATACAGTAAAGTATCTAATCAATTATTCAGCTGCTTTCATGATGAATTAAAATATGGAGCCATTAATTTTAACAATTCAAATATTAACTTGCTTAATATTTTTTATTTGTATTACTTGAAAAAATATGTCTACCTTAGTTAAAGTTTTTTAGAAATAATTTTCACCAAAACCTTTATTTCAGTTCTTGTCTCCTTTTTTTTTATCTTTAGAAACAGTTATTGAAGATTTGGTCATTTTTATTACTTTATCCTTTTCATCACTTTTTTTTTTTGAATTGAATTCTTCAGCTCTTTGATATATTTGATACATTTTTAGAATCTGAAATTATATATTCAATTTCAGCTTCAGGCACAAGTTTGAGTTGATATTCAAGTTTGGATTAGTATTCAGATTCAGGTTGATTTTGAGGTTCAGATTGGTTTTAAGGTTGAAATGTTATTTTTATAGTTTCTACAATTACTATTAGTTATAATACTGATTTATATGGTTTTAATTGTTCATTTTTTTTTTAGATATTCAATATACTTCTTTTGCTGATTTGATTTATTAGAAAATATTTTATTTATATGTTCTATTGTAATCAATTGTGCCTCCAAATTGGTATTTGCTTTTTCTAGTTTATTTATCTTTTTCATATATAATTCTTCATTTTCTAAATAAATCGACAAATTAATAAAAGTAGGTTTTATGATTCAAAAATAATTTAAATTGTATCTTTTTCTATTTTTTTCTAAGTTTGAGTCACAGTCTTTGGTTCAAGAGTCAATACTTATGCAATTTCAGTTACTAAGCTTTTAGGTAATGTAAAAGATAATCTTCTTTTGAATAATTTGGCTGCTATTACAAAAATTGAATCTTTAATACTAGGTGTTATTGCATACTTTTCTGATATAGCAGATAAAAATAATTATTAAAATTGTAAAGAATGTTTTGAAAATTATAAAGGTAACAAATGTTATGACTTTTCTCTATAAACATTTTTATTAAATAGTTTTTTTTATTGTTTAAATATTTTTAGCAAAAATTAATTTTGATTAAATTAATAATGATATTTATATAAAATTTTATATATTGTTTTATTATATAATTTGATATTTATTATATTATTATTTGTATCATTTTGTATTATTTATTATTTTTATTATTTTTTTTGAGTAGGTAAACACCATTTCTTTATTTATTCGTATATTACAGGGCATATATTTAAAAAGAAACAACATCTTTCATATGCAATTTGCAATGAGTTTAATGCTAACCTGCCTATAGTAATTATTTAACTTCTACTAGAAAAGACATTTTAAAACTAGTATATTAATCAAATAATGCCGAGCAGCTATATATGCCTACTTAGAGCTATTTTGAGAGATAAAATCATAATAATTTGAAATAAGATTAGAAATACATAAAATTATTTTGGATAAATGTTTCTGCAACTAATGTAGGAATATTGACTGTTGTATTGTAATTTTGAAGATTTGAACTAGTGTATCATTTTGTATTATTATAATTTTTTATTTAGTATTTTTGTATTAAAAATTCATCATTTAGTATTGTTATATTTAAATTGGTCTTATTATATTTGTCATTTAGTTTTATTAAATAAAAATTGATTATATTATATTAAAATTTGTATATTATATTAAAATTCATCAATATTTGACAATTCAAAGTTAAATAATGATTTTTATTACTTTATGTTTAATATTTAGATCCAATTATTGAAATATAATAAAAAAAAAATATTGTTAATATTACAAGTTGGTTTTATAATTTATTACATATTGTTATATCTGATT